TATATATATATATATCTTACTTTGTAATGTAATAATACTTAGGTAACATTTGGTTATTTTCTAGATCCTTTGCTGAGCCACCTGCTGGTAGAACATCAACATCACCACCTTGAGACCAGCAACTTTGATCGTCTGGTGAGAGAGGCTGCTCAAGGCCATCAGGAGACAGTTCAAGAATTATTGCAAATTTTTCCTGATAAGGTAGGCAAAACAGATACTCATAGGCCACTTAAAAATAATAACATGAATTAATTAACCAATGCTGGAATCAATGTTTATTCTTTTAAATTTTTCAAAATATTTGTTTAAACAGACATTCAAATAAATAACTCCTTTCAGACAAATTTTTTTAGCCATAAATTAGACTTGGGTTATTTCTCCTACTACATCTATATAAAGTCATCACTTTCTGGGTTTTTTTTTGTGCTGTAGCTGCATTTATTTGTTTCTTATGATAATGGTATTAAGAGTAAATTAATGAAGTTGAAAATAAAAGATATTTTCTTGCAATAAATAAGTAATATTCTTTATTAATTAAAAAAGTATTTAACTGGAATTTTCATGTGCAAGATCACAATATTTATGAAATTTCCCATTGAGAAGTTGAGGACATACTAAAATTAAGTGTTTATGTGGTTTTTGAGTTGAAAATGATAGATGGCATGTATAAAAGAGAATTTTAGTGAAAGGCTTAACTTAAAATTTTAGTTACAAATTGCTTGAAGACAAATAATGGGCATTGCTTCAATATATCATGCAGTACGACTTTACTTAATATTCTACATCATATGGATGGAACAATCTTGCTTTAGTTATTGTTTTTTTATATTCTCTCAAAGAATCATGATTATTGGTTATTTTTGTTAGTATATGTTATGTATGCAATACAGTTTTACTTTAACATTCACGAATTTCATAAATTTGTGAAAGATTGTTGTAAACATCCATTATATTTATCTTTCTGCAGTATTGAGTTGTTCACTACAAGTTTGGTATGTGTTGCCATTAGTACTAGAGATAGGTGATTAGTGGTATTTGTTAATAGGGTAATCCTGTTCAATAACAAATAAAAAGCTGCCACACATTTGTAGTGGGTGCTACATTTCCTCTTGTCAGCAGTTCCAAAAAAGAAAAAGGTTGGAAGTGGGTGCTACCAATCATTTGCACTCCTTCTGTACAGCAATTCAAAAAGTTGTAGCAGCTTTGCCATAGCAAATACAGGGCAAGCAAGTTTTGGAGCAATATTTGGAATAATTGGAAACTCTAATTCTGATTAGTTGATTATTTTTGTGACAGTCAGTGTTATTGTAATTTGTGTAACCCTATGTGCAGAGGTGGTGGTCAAAGTGCACAAGCTATGACATTTTACAGACTGCCAATCGACATAGGATTATATTTATTTGATGTCAGGGTTATCAACTATTCATTTTATCCTAAACTGCTGATTTAGTGATAGATCAAGGTAGAGGAGAGTAAATACCACATACAGTATAGAGGGGTACTGAAAATTGTAGATATGAATTTTTGAAACTCTAGAGGTAATGAAAATACAATATGCAAACAATGGTTCACATGAACATCACCTTGTACTCCAATTTGTCAGAGTCTGAGTCGACTGACATCATCAAACCACAGGTATATCTTGAATACAAATGCCTTTGTAAAATAAAAGCTTGCCACATTCTGTATGGATACACATTGTAGATTTGGCATAACAGTCATAGTATGTGATTGTGGGGTGTTCTGAAATGATGCTATTACTGAAAGTTTAAAGTCATCTAACTGTTACTGGAATGGTATGTGACTGTGGGATGTAAAATGATGCTATTACTTAAAGTTTAAAGTCATGTAACTGTTACTGGAATGGTATGTGACTGTGGGATGTAAAATGATGCTATTACTGAAAGTTTAAAGTCATCTAGCTGTTACTGGAATGGTATGTGACTGTGGGATGTAAAGTGATGTTATTACTGAAAGTTTAAAACCATGGGTCTGTTATTGGAATATCATGTGACCATGGGATGTTGTGAAATAACTACTATTGAAAGTTTAGTGTTATATGTTTATTATTGGAATATCATGTGACCATGGGATGTTGTAAAATGATGCTATTACTGAAAGTTTAAAGTCATCTAACTGTTATTGGAATATCATGTGACCATGGGATGTTGTGAAATGACTACTATTGAAAGTTTAGTGTTATATGTTTATTATTGGAATATTGTGTGACCATGGGATGTTGTAAAATGATGCTACCTTTTAAAGTTTACCATATACTGCTGATTTAGTGATAGCTCATGTTAGAGGAGAGTAACAGATAATTTACAGTGATGTTGAAAGAACTGTAGATGTGCATTTAGAAGTTCTATAAGTTACAATACAGAAACTGTATGATGAAAAAAGTATCTTTATTCTTCACATGAACATCACCTTGCACCCTGATTTATCAGAGTCTGAGTAAGACTGACATCATCAATTCACAGGTATATCTTGAGTACAAATACCTTCATAAATCATCTGATTTTTGTGTACAACAGACTTGTATATTTTGTGTACATACGCATTGTAAATTTGGAATTACAGTCAATATTTATTCTCCAAGACAGGGAAGGTCCAATGGACTGAGCCCATGTACATTGGTTGGAATAATGGGAAACACTAATTTTGATTAGTTGATTTTTTCATGATAATCAATATAATCAGAATTCTATTGATCAAATCTTAGAACAATCCGGAACAGTAACAATCAAGATCACAAATTTAAATTAATGCTCTTGCCTGGATATCCTTTACTGAGCATGACTCGAAGTTTTAGTGTCTTACATTCAAAATTTTATTAAACTATATTTTGTTTATGTTATACCAGTTAGTATAGCATAGAATCTTAGCTAATAATCCATATATTAATAGTACATAAGTTTTAAGTTTTTAATTTTATAAGGTAATATTTATAAAAATCCTGAATTTCCCCCAGCGTGACTCACGTGACACATTTTCTCAAGGTATCTTCTCATCTCTTTTTTTATCCATCCCCCAGGAAACTACAAAATTAAACATAAATAACTCACTATAAAATCGTTGTTGCTGAGACAAACCAGAATTTTTATAACCTTCAATTTTGTTTGGTTACAAAGATATCAAATAGAAAATCAGACCACTCCTACCACACCCACCTGTCACATCCTCTCTTTCAGGATATGTTAATAGTTCTGTCTTATGTTTGATTATATATTACCTATAACCAATAGAAAGTTAACATTTTCATCAATCAAATGACATATTTTATAACATTGGTTTCTGAACACAGTATTATCAATTTCATTTGTAATACGACTTTGGTTCCCATGGGAGTCATAATGGCTAGCTTGGATGCATTTATAACAGCTCTTGACGCATAGTTAGAAAGCCAGAAAAATTGGGATTGTTAGAGGAAATTGTCTGCATTTTGCATGTTATTATTCTATGTTCTTTGGTGCATTATTTAATTAAATAAAAAATTATTTAATGCAGTACTACCATTAGTATAAAAAAGTAGGGTTAACTGTGATTGATAGTCAAGAGCATTATTATAAAAGTAATTAAAATGTAAAAATAGATATCACTTTAGGTTAGTTAAGGTTAGATTAGGTAAAATAAACCATGATAATAATATAATAAAAAAATTTTCACGGGGCACACGTGAGCACCTCAGAGTAGCTCGTGGGTTATTAAAGTCATTCTAGAAAGAAAAGATAGGGTAGTTTCTTTTTTTGGTGGTTACGGGGTCAGTCAAATTGACCAGCCTCGTATAGAGTTCGGGTAGAAAAAATAAAGTTAAAATATAAATATATTTGAAACGTATTTAGGAGGTTTTAGATATTATACAAAGAAATTTGGGATTTTTGAGATGAATAAAAGTATTTTTAATCTTAACATGAAAATCAATTTGCACACAGATTATTCAAAGCAAATACTCAATATATTCATGGACAAATCTTTATTTAGTTTATTAAACATACTTCACTAAAAAATATGATGTTTTTGTATGTGAAAGGCTTATAATATTAACTGAAAGACTACCAAATTTTGTGAAGATATACACACTATATTGAAAGTTAGAAGTATTAAATCTGTACAGACTTTAAATGAGTACAAAGAGGTCACATGGTCATTCAAATTGACCGAGCCCGTGTTATGAGCGTTAATTGACTTAATCATAGTTTTGATTAGTTCATATGACACTGGTTGACGTAATCACTGCTCATAGGTATTTGATTAATAAATTAAATCGCCTAGCTCTGATTATTTCACATTTTTTGACTTATTAGGTATGAGTATAACAATTAAAGCTGCCATAAATACAAGAATGCTTATTCATAATTAAAACTGAGATTAGGCAGAATATGAACTTGTGATTGGTTTGGGGCTGGTGTTTTATTGGTTGGTAAAGATGGGATTTTTGCAGAAAACTTGAGCCAAGTAAAGCCTAAAATCCATTTATTGTCATATGATTTTGGGAGTGTCAAATAAAATTTTAAAATGTTTGCATGACAGAATGGTATGATACCCTTAAAAATGTCTGCAGATCATGCTGTACTGTTAACACAGATGTAATTTGTATAAAGTTTTGTATGTACATTATAAGGAAATTTTAGACACGATTTGCTGTTTCATTAGGTGGACCAGAAAAGCTCAGGGAAAACAGCTCTTCAAGTGGCATGTCACCAAGGACACATTGACATAGTTAAGATGATACTAGCAGCTGGAGCTACCACAGAAATACAGGATGATGATGGGGACACAGCTCTACATTATTCTGCTTTTGGGTAAATAAATGAGAAGTGGTTATTGTGATCGAATGAATGTTTTCTCTTGTAACATGTAATCTCACAAATGCTGTAGCATTGTTTTTTCAGTAATAACTCATCATTAGACTTTATATTAATGCTTTCTAATCATTGAAATAAAGGTGGTAGTTAATTTGTGTCAAGTAGTAAAGTCTGTTCATTAGTAATAGTTATTTTTTTATGCCTGTACTTTCATTTTTAAAAATTCATGTTACACATAAAACATATTTTTGTAAGACTTTCAGGGGGGGGGGTAATAAATAAACTTACTTTGAAAGGAAGATTTAAGCCAACTTTTTGTATTATTGCATTTTTTAAGCTTTTATTACACGTTTATAACTGTCACATTTTTTAAATGTCACTCAGTTTTTACAGTTTTGATCTTTTCCTATTAGAAATCAACCCGATATCATGGAGCTACTACTTAAAGCCAATGCTGATATTGATGCAGTCAATAAAGCTAGATGCAGTGCATTACATGTTGCTGTGAACAAACAACATATGAACTGTGTGAAGGTTCTTCTCAGATACAGGTGTAACATTAACATTCAGGTGAGTGTGTGTGCTAGCTCACATTATTTATACTGAATTTATTCAGAATTTGTATGAAGAAATTAACAATTCCTATTAGTTATTTTTGTGTGGCCTAGTACTGCCTGCTGGCTAGGGAACTCGACCCAAAATCTGCTGGTCAAGGGATCAAATCCTTTCAACGAGCATTTTGCCCTTTCAGCCACAATGATCGTTATAAGGTAACCTTTACTTCTAGTATTGTTGGTAGAGAGTAGCCCATGAGTTGGTTGTGGGTGATGTTTACCAGCTGACTTCTTTCTAATCTGTCATTTCAAAATTAGGAAGAGTTAATCTAAGTAGCTTTTAAATAACTTTATGTGAAACTCAACAAATAAACAAACCCTCTTTTGAACTCTAGGAGTTGTGTTTTTAGAAATTGTATGAGTCACAATGAAATATCTTCTGTAACTAGAGAATACAGATAATACCATAGTATGATAGAACCATATATTAAAAATATGTTTATTTAAAATATTCTTAACCAAGATTGTTTTTCATTTCACATTCTAGCATTATACTCTTGGAGATAAATGTGTTAGTCTAGTTTATAATAAACTATTAAAATTAATTTCTTTCTTGTGTATGTTAGATACTGAGATTGAGTTAATTTGTGGAATTCCAATATTTTCAATGTAAAAAACACATAGACTTGTTTATCTAATACACATTTAAACTTTAGTCAAGACTACATAATCAGTTTCCATATCAAAACATAAAATATGGGACGAACAACAAAACGAAGGCAGCAACAAAGAATATTTGACACGTGTGTGCTCAGTAACAAACATTTAATTATTGAATGTTTCAGAATATACGTATTCCATCTTCTCAAGCTATATGGAACATGGTAAATTATTAGGTACAAATATTTCTAAAGTTTAAACATTATGATGTGTAGATGTTTGTTCTAGGATTCATATGGAGATACAGCACTTCACGACGCTATTGGAAAGGACAGCCAGGAGATTTTAGAATTACTCATTAATGTGCCAGAAATTGACTTCTCCCTCAAGAATAAACGAGGATTTAATGTTCTTCATCATGCTGCATTAAAAGGAAATAATTTGTATGTATCTACTGTACTTGTCTAGTGTAGCTTAAAGTTGTTTTGTAAAAAATTACATAGGACTAAAGCTTTATATTTAGTTGTGTAAGTTGTCAAAATAATTTTTTCTTTACTTGAGCAATTAAATCTGTGTGTACATCACATGCATTTTTTATAATGTTTTTATTAGTTTACAACAGATGCTTCACTGGTTGTAAACAATCACTGTATTTACATTAAATAATTTATAAGGCTTAGCTTTTAGTATAGAACAGTATATTTTTTGTTGTTATATTAAAATTGGAATTAGAGGTAAACTCAAGTTTTTATTTTAGAACATGTTGGTTTTTATTTTGAGTGTACACTTCATTTAGTATCTGGATGTAGTGAATGATCTCTTGCTAAGAATATCATATCTTTTTAAAATCTTCACTAATTTAAAGAACATTTTTTATGTGTGTACATTTCATATCTTTTAACTCTCTCGCTATGGACTTGGCAAATTGGCAAGTTCCTGACCCCAAATTGACCTTTATAGTTTCCATACTATCATTTCTAATATGTTTTGTGTACCTTCATGAAATTTTGCAAATTTTAGTGAACATTAAAAGTCATTTATAAACTAAAAATCAGAATTTTTAATGAAGTAATTTCATTAAAACATTCTCCATGAATATATACAGTCAAAGTGTTGACTACTTCAAGTGCAAAGTGATTTTAATATTCAGATTAAAAATACTTTTTCTCTTTGGAGAAATCTCAAATTTCATTTGCATAACCTAACCTCCTAAATAAATTTCAAAGGTTTTTTTTTTCAGTAAAACTTTATATTTTATTTTCTCTACCCTAATTCTATATGAGGTTAGTCAATTTGACCGACATCATAACAACCAAAAATAAATCTAAATTACCCCTTTTTTTTTCTTTCTAGAATAACTTTATATTGTAACATGGAACTACAGTTGTTTAACCTAAAAATATTTAAACTGTTAACAGTATACATCTGTTCCTACTTAAACTTTATTGCTTTACTGCCATTTGAACCATATCTAACTAATATTCGACCAATAAGTTGTAAATCACTTGGTGAATGCTTAGCTCATATAACCCTATCGAATCACATAAAGTATGAGCTGCTCAGAAGTGTACCTTTTGAAAATCTTAATATTATTATTCTTTAAGTTACCTAATCTAACCTAATAAGTTTCTAACTTTTAATTACATTTTAATATGAAATGAAGATTACTAACTACTAATTAATTTAATTACTCCTTAAAAACAAGAAATATAGTGCTTTCCTGGATCTAATTTTTTTCTTCTGTCAACTGATGATGTAACTTATGCCTACTTTTTTAGACTAATGATACTACCTTATGCCTACTTTTTTAGACTAATGATACTACCTCATGCCTACTTTTTTAGACTAATGATACTACCTCATGCCTACTTTTTTAGACTAATGATACTACCTCATGCCTACTTTTTTAGACTAATGATACTACCTTATGCCTACTTTTTTAGACTAATGATACTACTACACTAAATATATTTTATGATGTAACTTATGCCTACTTTTTTAGACTAATGATACTACTACACTAAATATATTTTATGATACTACCTTATGCCTACTTTTTTAGACTAATGATACCACTACACTAAATATATTTTTATTTCATTAGGTAATGCATGTAAGAACACAGAATAATAACTTGTAAAAAACAAACAATGTTCTATAACTCTCATAATTGTTCTGGCTCTCTAACTATGCAATAAAAGCCTTTTTTAAATTCAGCTAAGCTCATTAATGTGATTCCCATGAGAACAAATTGGAAAGTGAACAATGAAATAGACAACATAATATGTCATTTCATAGATTGAAACCTTGGCTTTCTGTTTATTATACATAATGTAGTCTAAAACTATTTGAAAGAGAGGATGTGACAGGTTGGTGTGGCAACTGTGGGTTTCATTTTTCTAGTTTATGGCTACATAAACAAATAAAATTGAAGTGTATAGAAATTATGCTTTGCCTGACTAATATCTGTATTATCTAATTCTGATAAAAGAGTTAATACACAGATCACACACAAGAGGTGCAATGAATGTAAAAAAAAAAAAAAGAACCCAAAACTCAAGCTCTTTCAAATAGTTGACTGTTTTTTTTTTCAGGAGAATAAAGGGTGGTGATTAGTGAGTACATATTTTGAAGAAAAATAGTCAACTATTTGAAAGCATTCAAGGTCTTATTTTTATTGGAAATTCATTGTATTATAATAAGTAATTTATGGAGGGGTGGTAAATAAATTAGAGAAGAGGAAAGACCTAGAAACAAATGTCACAATTCTCATCACTAGGGGAGATTAAGGATTTATTAAATATTTAATTATAAAATTAAGGACTTAAAATGTGATTTATTAACTATGTTTTGATGACAAGTTTATTCACATAAATTGATAACAAAGTTGCTTAATTTTGTTCTGAATGCAAATCTGTAAAAGGTTGTGACATGTGCACTTTGACCTACCCCATATGAAAGGGTTAAGAGAAGAAAATTTACATTTGATAGAGGATTTTACTCAGCTTTGAATCTGTTTCTTAAAGTGTCTGTCTGTGAGGCAGTAAGTCATTGTTTTGATGTCCTTAAATTGTCCGAACTTGTAAATCATTGTTTTAATGTCCTTAAATTGTCCGAACTTGTAAGTCATTGTTTTAATGTCTTTAAATTGTCCGAACTTGTAAGTCATTGTTTTAATGTCCTTAAATTGTCCGAACTTGTAAATCATTGTTTTAATGTCCTTAAATTGTTCGAACTTGTAAATCATTGTTTTAATGTCCTTAAATTGTTCGAACTTGTAAATCATTGTTTTAATGTCTTTAAATTGTTCGAACTTGTAAGTCATTGTTTTAATGTCTTTAAATTGTCCGAACTTGTAAATCATTGTTTTAATGTCCTTAAATTGTCTGAACTTGTAAATCATTGTTTTAATGTCTTTAAATTGTTCGAACTTGTAAGTCATTGTTTTAATGTCTTTAAATTGTCCGAACTTGTAAATCATTGTTTTAATGTCCTTAAATTGTCCGAACTTGTAAATCATTGTTTTAATGTCTTTAAATTGTTTGAACTTGTAAATCATTGTTTTAATGTCTTTAAATTGTTCGAACTTGTAAGTCATTGTTTTAATGTCTTTAAATTGTCCAAAATTGTGAATAACAGGGAACAAAGTCATCTTAATTTTTGTTATAGTTAACTTATATTAAAGGTATTTTATTTACTGACAGTGTGTTATGTTTGTGAGAATATATTACCGTATTTAATAATATTCATCTGTAGATATTTATGTTCTTATGTAGTGCTACAGAACGCCTGATATTTAAGACCAGACAAATAGTTGATGTTAAGAAAGATGATGGTTTTGCTGCCCTTCATCTAGCTGCCCTTAATGGTCATTATCAAGTAGCAGAAACATTACTTACACAAGTGAGTTTTTAACTAATCCTCTGTTGTTTAATGTTATTTTTCCCAAAAGTCTTAACACATAGTTGGTAATTTCAGTCAGTAGAATACCGTACTGTTTTTCTATGACATATTACATCATTAAAAACTACTATACAGTATCCATAATTAGGAAAAGTAAGTTAAAATTTAGTAACTAAATCAAGTCTTTCAACATCCTGTTTCTAATAAGAAATAATGAAAAATGCTTTTATCAAGTTATTTATTTACTGATCATTGCTAATATTATATTAGGTATATATATACAACTTATTAAAATCTACTATGAGATGAAAAGTTTTGAATCATTTTTTTTGAGATGTGAAAATATGCTGAGGTGTAAGTGCTTTTAACTCTAATTAATCAATAAAAATCTTTCATGATATGTAAAGTTTTTATACACTGTTTTACTGATGTGGAGTGATCAAAATTTATGTTGTGAGGATATGAAACCTTATATTTAGAAATATTAAGTGATTAAAATCAACTATGATGTACATGTGTGTTTGTCATGTGAGAATGTTTTCAATCTTGTCATAAATTTTCTTAACTTTTTCATTATACAGGGTCAGTGTGAAGTGGATGTTCGTAACAACAGAAAGCAGACACCACTTATCCTTGCTGTAAGCCAGGGTCACTGTTCACTGATTGAGCTTCTTGTTTCTATGGGAGCAGATGTAAATGCTGAAGATGAAGATGGTGATACTGGTTTTCATCTAGCCTTGATTAGAAAACTTGTACCAAAACATGATGTGGAAAACTTTGAATCTCCTTGTATAACAAGTGTAAGAAGTTTGATTTTATTCAAACTGGATCAGAAGGTCCAAGCTAAGCCTACATTATGTGCTAAACATGCTTTCAGCTATGGGTGCAACATAAAAGTGGCAGTCAATCCCACTACTTGATGAATGTATTAAGATTATACTTATTTCTTGTTCAAATAATAAAAAATATACAATAACATATTTAAACATTACTTCAAATTAATTAAAATGCACAGGCCTCTAGAAATCCTGGGCAACAGGTCACCATGGTAACTAAATATTTCCCTAGTATTTTATTTGTGCATAGGGCTGTGCTAAGTAGAACTTAAACGTAGAACAGTTCTGGACTATTGGAAGTCTGGAGCTATTTTTGTATTCTTTTAGTCAGACTTTATTTCTATGATTGTATTGGTGGAGGCAAGGCTAGGTTTGAACCAATCAACTTACAATTTGAATGCATGCCGGATCCTGCAGGTAAAAACTTTGGATATCATGCAACACCTGAACTTTAGCAAACAAGTTAATATCTAAGTGACAGGGAAAAAAAAACCAGATAATGGAGGTGCAGATAATCGAGGCATTAGTGTAACCCATAATTCCCTGTACAAATTGAAGTGAAGTTAGGCACACCTGGCTCCTAGATCTGTATATATTTGTCAAGGCCTGGTATAAGCTTATAGTAAATATATATACTTGATGTAGAGTCTTATAGTATTTTGATTGCTGTTGGTAAAAGTACCAGTTTTGCACTTATGAAATTTGCATCCATGATACCAGCTTAAAGAAGTAAAAACTACAACAAGAAAAGTTACTGTTATTAATCTTGATCATTTTGACCAACCTTGTAACCACCATGAAACTCTACATACTATAACACTGGGTGTACTAAATGTATCTTCATGAAATGTGGCAAAGCTTTTATTAAACATTACAAGTATGTTGTGCACAAAAATTCATTTTTTTTTTCTAGAAAGTATTTTTTACTAAAGAATTATCTGTGAATGTATGAGGTCTTTATTTTGAGTGATTTTCATGATTTGTTTTTCAATAAAAATTTGTACTTTATCTCTTATCTTCTCTACCATGACACTAGTTGTGGTAAAAATTGATATATAAAAATAAAATCAAAAATACCTTTTATTTTTTCTAGAATTATTGATAATTGTAGCAGACAGTTACATTATTTATCCTTCAGCTTTCACATTTGCTTTCTTTTAGTTTTATTGCTTTACATTCGATGTCTCTCAGTGCAAGAAATATAATATATCATGCTGGGACAGCATAGTGTGAATAGATCAACCTCGCAACATGTGAAATATTCAAGTCAGCCCATCAAACTATCACAAGAAATATATTATATCATGCTGGGACAGCATAGTGTGAATAGAACAATCTCACAACATGTGAATTATTCAAGCCAGCCCATCAAACTATCACAAGAAATATAATATATCATGCTGGGACAGCATAGTGTGAATAGAACAATCTCACACCATGTGAATTATTCAAGCCAGCCAATCAAACTATCACAAGAAATTATTTAATTATCAATTTTTTTTATCCAACCTACTAAGTTTATAATTTTTACGTTTTAGTTACTTTTATTAAAAAATACACATAACAGTAAATAGAAAATATACATAAAAAAATGTTATTGCTTAGCTTATCTCAGCCTATTTGTACTTGGAAATGTACTACGATCAGATTACTTTTTTCAAAATAGGTTGGTTCTCCACAATATCATTATTGTTCTTTTCAGATATGCATTTTAGAACACAAAAAATGTATTTGACACTAGAATAGAATGTTCCAAAGCTACTATAATTTAACTGGCTTTATAAATAATCTATAAGTAGGTCAAGAAAATTGTAATATCTGCTCAGAGCAGAAAAATACAATTGCAAACAATAAAACTGAGGCTAAATATCTATTTACAGGAAGCAAAACAAAAGAAAATAAGGAATCTTTAAGAAGCAAAATGCTTCTCTTTCTACTGTTATGAATAATTCAATGTCAATGTCAGAGAAAGAGTTATTGACATTTTTTAAATACATAATGACATTGATGGGGTGTGTCATGTGGGCTTGATATTTTTATTTATATCTCAATAAAGCAAGAAGATTGGAGTTTCTAATTTTAAATTCTGGCTTGTCAATATCTGTAGCATGTTAAGTATATTTGAACTTTAACAGATCTTGGTCTGATATTGTAATTTCTCCGATGGTAAGAAAGTACAAATTTTTCTCCTCTAATCCACTTGGTTCAAGAATGTGATTCCATATAGATTAAATAAAGGTTTTATTAATAAAAGTGGCATAGGTTAATATGGCAGTGAAAAAAAGGCTCCACTTTCAGTACCGAACCTGAATTGTATATTAGCTTCTAATATTGTATCTTGAACCATAAAATACCTATAGTTTGTTTGAAATTATATTGTATCTTGAACCATAAAATACATATAGTTTGTTTGACATTATATTGTATCTTGAACCATAAAATACCTATAGTTTGTTTGAAATTATATTGTATCTTGAACCATAAAATACCTATAGTTTGTTTGACATTATATTGTATCTTGAACCTTAAAATACCTACAGTTTGTTTGAAATTATATTGTATCTTGAACCATAAAATACCTACAGTTTGTTTGACATTATATTGTATCTTGAACCTTAAAATACCTCAAAACAATATTGTATTTTGTCTCTGACATAATTTGAAGTTAATTTTCCAGATTAACAATATTAAGTGGCTGGATCAAAATAAGTAAAATTATGAATGGCAACTCTGTATTTTTTAAAACATAAATATTTCAGTATTGAAAAATGCCAATTTAAAGATTTATTTATTGTAATCTTGTTGTAGAATTATTAATTTTTTTAATATTAATAGCTTGAAAGATTTATCAAAAACTGTTACACTAGATACTATAAAGGAAATGCATAAACTGAGATACTTGGAAACATGACATTTGTTTGTTATACTTTTACAGATTTTAAGTCAGCTGGGGTCTGCAGGACATGAAAGCAATGTTGGACTTGCTATTGCTTGTTTTCTGGCTCAAGAAGGAGGGGATTTAAATCATAGAAATCAGAAAGGGAAGACACCTCTTGATTTATTACCTGATACTTCAATGAAAGATTTAGTTCGTTATCACGCAACTCTAAAAAGGTTGAAAGTTATATATGTACTTCCTTGATTTATTTTATGTCTTTGGAATATTGAATGATCACACCAAAAGATTATACACGTGGCTAATTGATTATTAAAGGCTTATTATTCACAATTTTGCTTTGTTAACAAATTAAAATAGGACCATGAGTGAGATTATTTATAAACTGCATCAATTTCCCATCTATAAAACTGAAATTGGTATTTAATGTAACAGACTTTTTAGATACAATCAAAACTCTAAGATTTATTTCAGTTTTCTTAGCACTACTTGAGAATGTATGTCATTGTAAAAATACTTGTTTTTATTGCTCAAAAATGCTACTGTGAAAGTTGTTGATGAGAAGCAAATTTTCTGAGATATTTTGTTTTCTGTGTTTTATATCTCGTATAAAACGGAATGATAGTAGTTAAAGATTTATATCATATCTTCACAAAGAGCCATACTGTTTTTCTGTTACTACTTCATCTTCCAAACACCTTTCAGCTGACTTCCATTCATTTATTTCTTGGCAGATTGACTTGAAACTTGGTAGAATTATACTTTGGTCTAAGCCTAGAAAACTTTTTCTTTTTTTGATTTAGGTTTTTTTTTTTTTTCTAGAATTTTATGGGGTTAAAGGTCAAATAACCCCAAAATGTATGTTTTGGGCTCCTTTGCAGTCATATTTACAGCAATTATGAAAATTGGCAAAAAATATAAATTTTCTAGTGCCTAACACAATGATCTACAAAAAAAAAAGTTGGATTTGCCCATTTTGAGTCTTTTTAGGGGTGTCAGAGCTCACAAAAAAGCACAAATTTGGGGTTTCTGTTCAATTACTTGGTCATATATTGACCGATTTACATGGGATCTGATACAAAGATAGTTTTTCTACAAATATACAAACAAAAATGTGTTAATTACCCATTTTTCCTCATTTTAGGAAAGTCAAAAGGTTGAATAAACCCATAATTTTAGGGGATTTAGTCAATTACTTAGCCTTGTTTCAACCAATTTACATGAAATTTGGTACAAAGATGCCAAAAAAAGTATAATTTTAGGCTGTATTTTGGACAATTTATGTGGGATTTGGTATAAAGATACTTTCCCAAACAGTGATAATAGATAGTTTTAGGGTGTCAAAATTGTCCATGTTGGAATTGCCTGACAGAGGCATGTTGCAATTGCCTGCATATGTTGGCCTCTTTATTTAATTTTTATATTTTGTAGATATATCTGTTTAGTAGTTAAGAGTAATTAGATTAACATTACCTAAAGGTAAGAAAAAATACTTTGACATTTTGTAAACACAAAAATATCCATTGTGGTGATGATGATACTAAGTGAAGTTTATGATCCATTTCATCTATTCTAATCAATTTTTTTATTCATTGTGAGATTTTGTTGTATTGATGTACTGTGGTACTTTTTATAGTGCTCAAGCCAAGTCTCTGGGTTTGCGGGAAAATCCAGATGTTTCGTGCCCAGCATCCGAGGCTACACCATCTGCTGGCTCAGAGTGCTGGATATGTTGTGAAGTTTCAGCTTCAGTTTTGTTTGAGCCTTGTGGTCATAAGGTAGCTTGTGAAGACTGCTGCTTACGAATGAAGAAGTGTATATCTTGTCAAGATGTTATTCTTAAGAAAATTGGGTTAGGTAATTTGAAATACTACTACCATATCTGTATGATTCTTAAACTACCAGTTAGATGTGGATTAAAATAGACAGTTCACTCAGTTTCAAAATAATATGAAACATAAAAAGAGTTACTTGATACAAATGTTTTTATTGAAATTTAAATTACTGAATGACAGATATAATAAAAAGACTGAAAAAAGAAAGAAAAGCTTTCCTTATAATGAGTTTTGTTAATCTATTATGTTATAACAAAAATTTATTTTCATTTAGAACAGAAATATTTTAAGGAGATTATGTAGTTGTGCTAAAATTCAGACTTTACGTCTCGCCGGTATTATGTCAGCAAAAAAAATAAGTAAACAGTGTTGGAAATTTATGGAAGAATAATTTATTAAAAACATTTTTGATAAATCTGACAACCATTTCTTCAGTTCTGCAAAGTTTTTCTTGGGCCCTTAATGTGTCAAAAACTACTTGAGTTGGATTAAAGAGGCATCAAGCAATTCAAGTTTTTAAATTTTACTCAAAAGTTATTTTCTTTGGCTATTTCATTGTTTTTATGAAAAAAGAAACGAATCAATATTTAACAGAAACAAATGTTTCTAACATGGCAACACCACTACGAAGGTTGACATTCAGAATACTTTAAATTATATCAATGATACAAAGTAAACATGTTCATGGCTGAATGAATACTGTTGTACTAAAATTAGAATGCTTTTTCTACACAAGAAATGCCTTGTACAGTGTTGGTTAGGCCCTTCTAGAGTGACAGAAGGAAGGCTTTACGTGGTCTATGACTGCATGATTAATCTCTCAATTATGGAAGAAAGTGCATTGTAATTACCTTTGAAAAGCAGAAAATATAAGTTAAATGCAAAGGCTATGGGCATACCCAGTGTTTCATTTTTTCTTTTTAACCAAAACTGGCTGCAGACTTTGAATCCAAGACATTCAAATGTTTTCTAGAATGTGATTTTTTTATCATATATAGTCATGGAAACTACTACTTGAAAAGTTGAAAAATGTCCTGGAAAAAATTTCCAAAGACTTATATGAACTATTGCCAACTAGTATGTTAAGTGAAGCAAGATAGTCGAGTACAACTTTAAAAAACATTGGTCAAGTTGACATGAGTGAAATACAATGATGAAATAGAGTAAAGAAAAACAAGAGGAGTTCTTAAATAAGTGATATAAAGTAAATATCTTATATCATTATACAATAACTTTGAAATATACATCCTTTATATCTTACAATGTCTTCTGCAGAATGTCCAATTTGTGTAAGAAATCTTTTTTTCACTCCAGGTGGTCGGGTCATTTCGTCAAAAGCTCGTCAGGCAAGTGTGGAGCGGTTACGGTATCTTGAAACCAAAATTCAAGAGATTGAAGAGGCTCACTGTTGTTCTATTTGTATGGAAAGGAGAAGAAATGTAGCATTTCTTTGTGGTCATGGAGCTTGTGTAAAATGTGCTCAGACTCTGAAGACTTGTCACATGTGTCGGAAGCCTATCACAAAGAAAATTAACTTGTACTAAAAGCTGTATTGCAGCTAAGAAGTGCCATCTTTGAAAATATTCTTGTCACTGTTTTGGAAGAATAGCAGGGAAACCTGACAAACTGTGCCCTCAGCATAGGGTTATTGGATATTAACACATATAATTTCATACTGTGCGTATGTTTTTGTCCCATCTTTTTCTAACTTATGTATATATTTAGTTTTTTTGGTAATTTTCGAAAAGTTCTGACTTATTCTGTGTTTTGAAAATTGTCTAAGCACATTTTCTATTACTGTTTGAATTTTTGGTGGTCAAATTGTAGATTTTATTGTAAACAAGAAATATATATATATACATGTGTGTGTGTGTGTGTATTTTTTAAATTAAGCCTACAAGAGACAGTCTCTTGGAGGTCTGATTATAAACACACAAGTTCTTAAGATAAAAATTTCTGTGTGTGTATGTATAAGCATACCTATATCAGGACCTGACTAATTTTTTTAAATCACTTAATTCGTAGGCAGATCAAGCTAGAGATTTGAACTGCCATCTATAATGATGGTACTTATATGCAAAAATAAATCATTATATTAGGGAGACGGTTTTAAAGGCAGATTCTTTTAAAGAATCTCCAAATTGTAATTAATTCTTAATACAAAAATTATCTCGGGTGCTTCGTGATATGCATTTATTCTTTTGAAAGTTTCTCCTACGTTACTTTTTTTTTTTAGTATTTGAAACAAATACGTCTAACTCCCTAGTAACTTAATTCCTAACAATATTGATTCCTTTCCCTATCTTTGGCTTTTATTTGGATGAAGAAAGTCATATAACAAGTGTCAAATAGAATATTTTATTTACTTTCCTTACAAATTATTCTGTTTGGATGAATAAAGTTAGACTTGGTTGGTTGTAAAAGTTATGAAAAATTTCAGTTGAATTGGTGTGTTTTCAAATAAATATATAACATTCAATATTTTATGAAAATGTACATTTGAAAACATTATTCTGTATTATAATTTTACAATAACTGATACTTCATAAAAATATATAAAATGTACAAATATTAACTTATGGATTGTCATGAAAACTTGCTCAGTGACTAAGTGGGAATTATTTATGATTTGTCTAATTGATGATAACATTCAAGTGGAGTTGGGTTTGTCTTTTCCTGATATTTGTATATATAATTGTAGCTTTAAGTAACTATATTTCATTGAAAATGTTAGTAAATTTGTGTGCTGTTTACATTTTTCTTCTAAAATAGGTTTGAATCTCTTGGTGTATATATTATTGTAAAAAAAGAAAATTATTTAATTTTATGACTGATTCATTTTTCATCAAATTCTAGTACAAACATAAGTTTCATTTAATATAAATGTCACCTAGACATATTTTGGTATGAAAGATGTTTTTCTTTTCAATCATGGATCATCAACCAAGTTTTTAACTTTCATAACCTAACAAGAAATGTGGATTGTTTCTGCCATAAACCTGATTATTTGAAGTTATAATATATTATAATTTTATAGTAATGTGGTGTGTTAAAGTGTTGTTCTTTGTGTATATTAGTTATATCAAGCATTCCATATACTCAGTTGTTCTTAAATTTTCAGAAAATTTAAATTAGGATGGAATTGCTTGACAGAAGCTTAAGTGTTTTCAGAAATTTAGAGAAATATTTGGTTTCCTTTGTCAAATACATTGAAACCTGGAATATATATATATATATATACACTAGTTTGGACTTCTTATTAATCCTTTCTCTCCACCCAGTAAGTCGAATTTTGAATATTTTCGCAAAAACTACTTAACGTTTTTTTTTCTGTCCATAAAGCATTAATCTCAACTTTCTTAACTACATTTTGTTCCAAGATGACACTAGATACATAAACAGAGAATACTTAAACTAGAATCTGCTTTTGTTTAATTACATATATTCTTTATAACAACTGGAGGTGGGTGCTTGAGATAAAACTCATTTAGAAGTTAGGTTTAAAAAAATTGGAGTTTAAAAAGGAATTTATTCAACATGATTACAAAGTTGACTGTATTATACATCTTCTGACAATAAGCATCAAATGATGGTGAACTCCAGAAATTCTTTTCACGTGCCCTGTTTGTTACTTTGAAGGCTCTGTAACTTAAATTCGTGTGATATTTAGTGTTAAAACGTCTTTATAGACTCATTTGTATTTTATAGATTATACAGTTGGAAAAGGAAAATCTTTAACAAAGCAAAGTAAACTTAGCTTGATTTTGGTATTTTCTTATAAAACTAATCTTGGAGTGAAATATCATAAGGTTAATGTCTTCATGGGTTAAATGTGTACAGGTGTAAAATGTACCTCTATGTTTCAGAAATGATTTTGGAATATGTACAAACTGGTTGGAAGATTTAGTCTAGGCTTCATGAAATGTCATAATGAGGTGGACTTTATGTTTGTGATTTCATCATTAACAGTTGGTCTATAAAGAAAGATACTTGTATAACTAGGAAAAGTATTTTATTTACATGTTTTAAGAGCAAGTTTTTCTTTGTTTTATAAGTTAGTGTACATTAAATAAAAAAGATTCCAACATTTAAAAAGGGAAGAAAATAGTAAACGATTGCTTTGGTTTTACAAATGTATTTTGTAGATCTCCAGAATGAGAATAATTGAGATTGATAAAAGTTAAAATGTAGACACCCCTTCTCCACAACTCAGTCATACTACTTGTACAAAGATTGGGTAGTAAACATATTTATGTATAGATATTTTTATTCCTGGGAAATAAGTATGAGAATAAGATTGGGAACTTCCATTACCTGTCTTCAGGTCAGATGCTTCACTTACACAACTTCTGGACCTGAAAACAAGTAACAGAAGGCACCTAAAATGTTGTCATCTATTGTATTTCTTTGTTTTGAAATTAATTTAGCACTTCTTTTCAGAACTATGGATTCTGCATAAGATATACTAGTGTAGCTCAGGCTGTTCATTCTAATCTTTAAATTCCATGGATTAACTTTTGGAACTCTTCCATCAAAAATCTATTCCATTTTATCTTTATTATTGAAATTATTCACTCTGCAGGGCTTGAATTTCAGTCATTTTTATGGTATATGATTCTTAAACTTTTTCAATAATAAATTCAAAGATGACCAGACTAAAATGAAGTAGTACAAATGTAATCATGAACAAATTATTCTTTGTATATGTAACGTTCCTAATTATTCTATGAAACATTGGTAACTTATGCTACATTCTCAGTAAGTCTGTAGTACTTCTTAATAAAAACCTAGTTTAGCATGTTTGTGTAAAATAATTCTTTTAGGGGGCTTGACAATTAATTATTTATGGTAATCTTGGATAGTAGTTTTAATTGTAGTGTTTAATATCAATTTCTTATTAATAACCACTGTGATATATTACCTAGGCAAACTTAGTAACCCAAATTTGAAACTACTGTAAATCCCAGTAGTTGGAAGAAATAATTTACTACTTAAATACATATGTAAATGTAAAAAGGAAAAGAAGTTTTACTTATGATAAATCTGTCACATTGAAACATAGTAAAATATTTAGCCTCTCTGTTTGGTCATAAAAAGTATATTCAGTATTTTAAACCATATTCTAAAAAGTAAGAAAGTTAATGATAAAATTACAGTCCACTTGGTGACCTAGTTAAATTATGTAGTGATTCTAGCAATATTTCTGTAAGTTTTTAATCATATAATACATTTTTTATCTTGTTAATTTTCATTTGTCAGAAATAAATTTCTTTCTCGGTGCATTGGCTGTCTTGAATTATAAAATCTAATGAAATATTTGTTTGTGCATTACATCATTTAACATTATCCAACAGTGATAACGGGTTTTATGTAAAACACTGCAAATTGAAGAAACATTTGTTCATGTTAAATTTCAGGGCTAAAATATAAGTGTATACCTAAAATAGTAAAAGACTAACTTTATGATTGTAAGATGTATCAAGAACAACTTGAATCGTTTTAATTATGAAACATATTTTACTTATATGATGATAATTCTTTTTAAATTATATTGATGCTACAAACAGAAGTGCAATTAAAGATTTAGTTCAATACGCATTTCTGAACCCTAAGGTAAAAGAAGGGAAATCTCAATATGTTTGTTTAAAATCCTCTTTTGAAAAGCAAAGTATTGTGTTGCTAGAGTGAAAGTTAAATCTTGTGCTGTAATGTGAAATGGTACTTGTATGTGAATAAAGTTAAATAATTACGAGTCTTGTGACGGAACTTAAATAAGTATACTAACAAGGTTTCTTGTATATATCATACATATTTTAATTTTAAGACCTTACTGTAAGATTATCATTAGGGTTATATTTCAAGTTCATTTCTGTTCAAAATTTCAGTATAAAGAAATAAACATGATATACAGAGCTGACAGTAACTGAAACATTTGATCTTAAAGCTCATTTCAGTTAAAAGTTTATGGTAACGTGGTAAACTTAATCATAGAATACAAATATTATGGGTTTATTAACTTGTATCATGTGTTCATTCTGTGATAAAAAAACAAACAAACATTTGTTAATGACAGCAGTAACATGGGCTTAGTGAGACACATGTTTTGAAGTATGCTTATTTGAAGGCCAAATTGTAATTGCTATGTTAAATGTACACCCTTAAAAAATAAATAATTAATATTGGTGTTCTTTGCATCATTTGTAGACATGCTTTTTGGTAATATCTGTTCCTGTCAACTTTGACTTACAGCAGTCAGAAGGTTACTCTTTTGCTCTATTATAAGCTAGAACTCCAATCTGTTTCTTAAGAAATGTTCTAAAAAATATAGTGCCTCCTTTATTTATTTAGATACATTTCTTCTTTAATGTTACAGCTAACTGCATTCCATGAATTGCTATACAAGTCTTTTTTTGTATATAGTGTTTGTAATTTTTGTTTATGTAATATTTACTGTATTGTCAAAATCAGCCAAATAAATGGTTTGTATAGTTTTACTATTCAGAGTATGAGATGAAAAGTTATCAGAACATGTCCAAATGGTAATTTTGTTCAGTGCTTTTCTTAAGGAGAAGAACGAAAGTTATGGAAAAACCACAAACTTGCAGTACAGTTGAATTTCTTCTGTACATACATTGGAATAATATAGCTGTTGTTGTTCAAGTCTGTATAACATAAAATATTAAACGAATGCTACAACATATTAAACCCAAAATGTAATTATTCTGAAAACTTGTGCCTTTTGCAATTCATAAAAAACTTCCAATAAAGGTAATTTATTTTATGTAATGATCATTACATTTCCCTGACAATGTAAACAATCGAAATTGATAATAAACTTTAACAATAATCATTTCGGAAAATGGACAAATTAAGAGGAACGTGAGAAAAAAACGTGGTTTATTTTAGGCCTATAGTATTATATATATATATATATAAAATATAATTTAGGGAAACTTCTCTCTCTCTCACTGTCTAGCCTAGTTGATAACTTCTTATATAGAACAAAAGGCCTCTTGGGCCATTATATGTTGGAGACAAAAAAATATATTTCAAATACTATTTCCACACATCTCAGATTTTGAAACTGAAATGTGCAAATTAAGAGGAATATGGGGAAAAAAATCTTTAGTTTACATTATGCTTAGGCCTTTTGGTTTCTAGTGCTTCACTGGCTTTAGGAGTTTAAACTGTAACTTTGAAATAATCTTTTGGTATACTTCATAATGTACCTGTTTTCAACCTTTGAGATGCATATAATGTCATACTCCTTATGTCGCATATAATGATACTAACAAAAGTATTTTTTAAAAATTAAAACTTTGATAGAAAGATTTTGGTTCATCTTGGCCATCCCATCCTTTATACTAAATGTAAAAAAATATATTTATCAGGCCTTTCCTTAAATCTATTATATCCACCACATCTAAAGGCTAACTACCTTCTTGGAAAAATAACACAAATACAGAATACACTATAATCTGAGTGTTTTTTAAAGGTCTACCTTTTGAAGTTATAGGGCATCATATGATTGTGTTAATTTATTGAATCTATGTGTTTTCTAACTCTTAGAAAAGTAAAATTGTATTAGCTAAAGAAGGTTTCTACTCTGTCAGAAGTTATATTTGTGTCCCCTAGTCCTACTATTTTCACCAATAAGTAAAAAAGTTGATGCATCAATTCTATCGATTCCATTAACAGCTTTGAACACCTCAATCAGATACCATTCTAACTCTTGTTTTTTTTTCTAGAGAAAATAATTTCAGACATCTTAATCTGGTCTCTTAAGACAACTTTCTATACCGGGTATCATCCTAGTAGTCCTCCTCTGAACCCTTTTCAATAATTAAATGTTCTTACTAAAGTAAGGAACCCAAAAATAAACACACTGGTGTAACCAATGACATTAAATCCTCTTTAGACTTATATAAAATATTTATCTAGATACAACTTACAATCCCATTTTCCTTAAAACTGGTAATAGCTCACTTATTGACTTAAGAAATTGATCAACCAGATGATCCAACAAATATTAAACTTTGTTAAATGACTTTGCAAATCATCTTTTAGCAGACTTCCAAAAAATTTCCAATTCTCTGGCACCCTCCAACTGTTCTACAAAAACAGTAGCAAGTTCCTCACATATTCAGTCCTTTACGTCCTTCAAAACCTGTGGGGAAATATTATCAGACCCAGAGGACTTGTCATTCTTTGAACTTCTCAAAATTTTCTTAATCTCAATATTAATGTTATCATCTTGTTTCCCTCTAGCAACTGTTCAGGATGAAGAATATTACTTAAGTCTTCATAAGTAAAAAAAACTGAAGAATAAAAGTAGAATTTAATAACATGGCCATCTCATAACCACCAGATACAAGCCTTCCTTTATCATATCTCAAAAGCCCTACTCCCATCTTAACATTTAGCTTACACTGTAATGGACTTATAGAAATTCTTTCTGTTAATTTTCATATTTTCTGTAAACTTTTGTTTCATATACCTTTTTGACAAACTCTCTCAGTTTGCTATAATCCTCCAAGTCTCCCATCATAACAGTCGATTTAAACTTCTTAAATTTATAATAATTTTCTTTAATTTTATCCCTTCATGAACCAACCTGGTTTTTAACTTGCAGCCATTTTTTTTCTATTACAAGGAACATGTCTATCTTGAATATTTAAAAATTTGATCAGTGTCTCCAATTAATTCCTTTCCCAGTTCACAACAGATAATTCTTATTGCATCCATTCAAAAATCTCCTTTTTGAAATTTGTAAACAAACGTCATTGGTCTTCATCCCAATGTGCAGTAAAATATCAAACCTAATTGAACAATGATCATTTGCATCCAGATATTTCCCAATCTCCACCCATTTATATATTAGAACTTAACAATAAATCTAAAATGGCATTGTATTTAGTAGGTTTCCTGAATGGTTTCTAAAAACCTGTGGTTTCAGAAAAGTACTTTTGCTCTTCTCACTCATAACTTTTTGGATGAGGGTATTAATGTAATTTTTGTGCACCAAAGACTCGGAAATAACAATAAATTTAGAAAGTTGGATGCATATGAAATTGGTGGAAAAGTTAAGAAGTGAACAAAATATTTACGTAGTGGTAAACAGCAGAGTGATATAAGTGAGCATTTGTTCCTTTGTTATTCTCAGAATGGATGTTACCTGCCACCACCCAGGAAGAATGGATGTTACCTGCCACCACCCAGGAAGAATATTGTTCAATACAACATGTATAAGAAAGTCAACAGCATTGTCATTCCATGGGTAGCTGTTCGGGTGATATCACCTATGTTGTAATGAGAATAACCAGCCACATGATTACCTTTAATCGCCCTGGATAAATGCCAGGTTTCTTGGATGCCAAGGAAGGTTACATGTTATTCAGCCTGGTCTGGAACATCATTTAGTCAGTATAGTCAAACATGAAGGATCTAGTAAAGGCGATCATCCTGTGTAAGTAACTACAACTACTAGTGTTCATTTTGTATTACACTTTATGTCCAGTCTCATTATTTCATTTTAAATAGAGTCAGTTAGTTAAGATTTAATTTTACTTTATAATCAGTATCTGGAGTGAATCTTCTGTTATCTCAAGATAATTCAGTTTCACCTAAATATACCACAATAGGAAGGTTTTAGGAAAAGCATAATTTCTTTCTTGTGCAAAAGGAAATGTCAGTTTTAGCATCAAGCACGTATGTGATAAAATAGTTTCAATAGTGAGAAAATGAAAGTTATACACTTTGGATGTGGAAATTTATCAAAGATTTGAGGGAAAGATGAAATGATGAAAAAGATAATATTTTAAGGTTGGTTATTGATAAGGGACTAAAACTTTCAACTGAGTTTTTGATAAAAATGAAAAGTGTTTTGGAAGGAATTTATAGAAATTTTAAATTCAAGAGATAACATTTATCCTATAAAATATCAGGAAACATATGTATCAATGGCACTGTTACCCACATTTATGTGCTCCTGCTCTGTTAATACTGGGTAAACAGCTGTGTTGTTTCAACATTTTTTTTATACATATAATAGTATAAATAAGTATTTGGAGCTTTTGTGTTCACAGCTCTTGTGTTTTTATATTTTCTTTTAGAAACGTGTCACACTGAAAACATATCAAAGTTAGAAGTCTTTAGAAGAAATAATTATTACATTTATTGATGTTTTCAAAGCTGCATGTAAATAGCAAAAAACATGAACAAATGTTAAAGTATGAAACTAAGTTTTTGCAGTTATAATCTTAAATTAATTTTTTTATGTTAGTTTGTTCCATATTTGCTATGTTAAATAAAAAACTCAACTGTACAGTTTTATTTCATGCAGGACTGGCTTTTGGATTTTTATGCCCTAAACTAGATTATAAAATGCACCATTATCATTGTTAAGACACATATGTAACATAACATGACCACAGTTACTAGTAAACTTAACTTTAGCAGACATATCTGTATTTTACATCAACATGCTTAAATTTTGAAGAACTTGATTTTACTTGTCTATATTTAGCTGTGAATTACTTCGTTAAGGTCTAGTTTGTTCAACTTAGTAGAAGCTTATGTTTAAATTGATTATCTTACAGTGTACATGTCCAGTATGCTATGGTAAAGGAAGTTATAAAACAGGCAAAATATAGTCAATTCTACTTAAATGTAATATAACAATCTTTATTGGTTTTGCTGCCTTAGACAGTTGACTACCTTGCCTAAGTGCTAAAGCCAGGCCTGTATTTACTATACCAATATACATGAATAGCTCAATTATTAACCAATAAAAGCAGGTTATAGATGATTATGGTGAATTATTTCTATACATTACATTATCAATAAAAAAAATGTGTGGTATCACCTTTGTTTGAAAATAATATTCAAAGGTAAAGGAGAAAAAAAATAATATTCATATTTCTCCTTTGAAGTAACTAAACCAAGCGTATATTTTGTTTTATGGATAAATTTTAGAATTACCTTGACAACCATAACACCTATACTCATTACGGTTTTATGACGGTTGAAGATTATTAACAATCTTAGTTTATACCTTTTCTTTTACATTTTGTTTAGTTCAAATGAAATCGCATCCATTTTTTATCAACTTTATATTTAACCAAAATACAACCAATGTCTGCAATACATGAATAATTTACCATCATAAATACAAATTTTTCTAACTGCAAGTATAGACATTACCCCACTTATTCCCTCACACCACTTTTCATGCACAATACCACTAATAAAAGATATGAGACATATTCAATAATAAAAAGTTATTCCTTAAATGTGAAATTCACAAGTTCACTATACATATTTTTCTAAGAACCTTTAGTGCATACGATGTTACACAATTATAACTTTGCATCTTTGTTCAAACTCTGCTTGGAAATAAACTCATTAATTAAAGGAGCAACCCTTTCTGGATTATTCAAGTGAACAAAATGTGTTCCCTCAACCTCATGGTATTGAAAGTGTTTACAATTTCTTGCATACATGTCTAAAATCTCTTTAATCTCTACAGGATCTTCATAAAAAAATCTTTCCTTGGCTTTAATTATCAGAAGCTCACAGTTCAAGTTTTCTAAAATGGATTTATGTAGTTGTTTTGTGAGTGAAAATACAGATATATTATTTATAGATACATCTCGATTAAAAATGACACCTTTTTTGTTACTGGATCTACTTGTTCCTCTTCTCATCAGGAGTTTTGCCGATTCTTCCGTAACATGATTTTGCAAACCATTAATTAAACGCTGAAGAGCCTTGTCTGGAGTGTAAACAGGTGGTGACTGTTTCTTTTCAAAAACAAGTTGTTGATCAATGGTATGGAGAGCCTGATACGCCACATCATCATCAGGTACAATCACGGGTTTTGTTATGTCAATACTTATCACCTTTTCAACGAGAACTGGATAAATACTTGCAAAAAGTAATCCTAATCCACCACCCATGCTATGCCCCATAATAATAAACTTTTTCCAACTAAAGAAATCAACAACTCTCTTAATATCAACCAAAAAATGAGCAAATTCATAAATTACACCACGAGGTTTGTGTGAAGAAAGACCATGTCCTGGGAAGTCCAATGCTACTATCCTCAAATCTGGGAGCAATAAAGGGATCAAACTGTCAAATGATCCTCCATTATCCAGCCAACCATGCAGAGCCAGAACAGGAAATCCTTCTGGGGGTCCCCATTCTTGAGCTGCCATGTGGCCATATGGAAGAGGTATCTGTACCTCCTTGGGACCCTTCCTTTGTTTCTCTGAACCCATCATTGTGGTACAAGATTTTATATCACTACTCTTTAAATTCCTTTGGAATTTTTGCTGTATAACAGGCCTGTATTTGGATAGAAACCAAGAAAAAAATATATTATAACTAGACTAATACAACTCTATTTTAGTTGTATAACAGGTCTGTATTTGGATAGAAACTAAGAAAATAAATATCTTAAGTAGACTAATACAACTGTATAATAGGCCTGTATTTGGATAGAAACCAAGAAAAACAATTTATAACTAGACTAATACAACTCTATTTTAGCTGTATAACAGGCATGTATTTGGAAAGAAACCAAAAAATAAAAAATATTATAACTAAACTAATACAACTCTATTTTAGCTGTATAACAGGACTGTATTTAGATTGAAACCAAGAAAAAAATATATAACTACTAATACAACTCTATTTTAGCTGTATAACAGGCATGTATTTGGAAAGAAACCAAAAAATAAAAAATATTATAACTAAACTAATACAACTGTGTTTTAGCTGCATAACAGGCCTGTATTTGGATTAAAGCCAAGAAAACATATTATAACTAGACTACTACAACTCTATTTTAGCTGTATAACAGGACTGTATTTAGATTGAAACCAAGAAAAAAATATATAACAACTAATACAACTCTATTTTAGCCGTATAACTGGCCTGTATTTGGATAGAAAGCAAGAAAAATATATTGTTACGATAGCGAAAGTCATGTGAAGCTATTAACACATCGTGAACTTCTAGAAGGATCCTGTCTCTTCCTGAAGTCTAGGGAGACTACTAGATATGCAGTGGTCTTGTATATATACGAACGGAGGCGTAACAAATTGGTGTCAGAGAGTGGGACAAAAAAAATGGAAATGAGAAGCGGCAAATCAAAATACAGCTCAGCACATTTGATGGCAGCAATACAAGAACAGCAAAAGAAACAAGAAGAGAAACAAGACTAGAAGTTACATCATTTCTTGGAGGAAAAAGAAAAGAAACAAGAAGAACAGAAGAGAAATTACAGCAGTGGTTGGAGGAAAAAGAAAAGAAACAAGAAGAGAGATTACAGCATTTGCAAGAAAACCTGCAACAGTGGCAGCTGGTACAGCAAAATAAACAAGAAGAGAGATTAAAGCAGTTCTTGGAGGAAAAAGAAAAGAAACAAGAAGTGAGAGAAAAGAAACAGGCCCCGCAGCTAAACCCTAATGCAGACATATTCAGTCCTGCTAGAAGTCACATCCCAGATATAAATGTCAGCAATAAGGGTGATCCAGTATGAAGGAAGCCACGGGAATTCCATGGGAAGGCACCGTGGGAAGCATATAGAGCACAATTTGAGCTACTGGCAGAGATGAATGGATGGACAGAGGAGTAGAAAGCAGTATATCTGGCAACGAGCTTGAAAGGACAACAATTGGAAATACTTGGACAGTTGTCTGCAGAGGGCAGGCACAACTATAGAGCACTGGT